TACTTACTAATACCCTTGCTCCTATGATCCTACCTCTGTTGAGCTTCTTCTTTCTCCTTATCCCATAGGTTCCTCATATACCCTTCCCTCCCGTATTTGTTTTTTTTAAAGCAGGGTTTCATATAACACAATCTAAGCTCAAACTCACTATGCAGACATGCTCTTCTTGCAGCCTGATCCTCCTGTCTTTATTTCAAATATTTTGGATAAGAGAAATGTCATCACTCCCAGAATCTTTTAGTTTGTCAAGACTTTGCCATAGTACATAGCCCAGGCTGATATCTAACTTGTAACCCTCCTACCTCAGCTTCAGTAGGGCTGACTTTCAAGGTACACCTATTGAAGATAGCATTTTCTTAGGTTGTTGTCATAAAAGATATATGACCTTTGGTTGTTTATAACAAAAATAGTAATTTAAGGATCCCAAAATAAATTCATTTTTGAATATAATTTTAACAGTTTCATTAATTCATAAAGATACTTGTCTAATTTGATTTGCTAAATTTATAAGATTTTATTGCTGTAAATATTGACTTGATTGCAGTTTCTGGGCCTATTAGAATGAACAAAATTTAATCTCATAGGAAGAGTGTATAAAAACATATTGTATCTTGTATTCTGTACCATAATCATTTTGATTGACCTTTGAGCAGTCCCATAAGGACAGGATGTCCTGGAAATGGCTATGTAACTGATGCTAATCTTGAATTTCTGATGCTCCTAATTTCATAATACAAGTAGTGGAACTGAAAAATGTTTGCCATTGTACTTGGCAGTATCTTTCTCCCAAGGAATGGATTATTTCAGGCAAAATCATGTCCTTTGTAGTGATGATGCAAAGAGCAATAGAATTAGACTGAATGGAAGTGTATGTTCAAAGTTTCTGTAATAAATACTATAATTTTCCTATCAGATGATATTAGAATTACTTAAAATAAAAGCAAAACTAAATTTTAGTATGATCTTTTGTCAAAGAAGCTTTACTTTGGGAGAAGCAAATCCTAAAGAATTACAGGCAATTAATAATCTATTTGTAAGAATAAAGATATAAACTGACTAATGAAATAATTTTTGAGGCAAAAGTTATAACAGATTTATACAATATACACTATCACATACACACGTGTACTAATCACTAATGTGCTAAATTCACCTAACAGTTGTAATTTCTTCTTTTTATTCTTCACTTATTGACTGTATCAAATGAATAAAAACATTTTCTCTAAACATAGGTGTCAACCAAACCATGACTTACTTCCTGATGTGGCTTTATTTATATGTGAAGTCAAATGCCTATAATAAAATATTTAAAATAAAAGCAAACATATTCAAGCTAAAATTAAAACATATTTCACCTCATTTACTATACAATGTTATATTTATGAAGAGATATAAACCTAAAACAAGAACAGAGAAGGTGAAACAAA